TGAGTGAGAGAGTGTGAGAGAGAGTGTGAGAGAGAGTGTGTGAGTGAGAGTGTGAGTGAGAGTGTGAGAGAGAGAGTGAGAGTGTGTGTAAGAGAGAGAGAGTGAGTGTGAGTGAGAGTGTGAGTGAGAGTGTGAGTGAGAGTGAGAGTGAGAGTGTGAGTGAGAGTGTGAGAGAGAGAGTGAGAGTGTGTGTAAGAGAGAGAGAGTGAGTGTGAGTGAGAGTGTGAGTGAGAGTGTGAGTGAGAGTGAGAGTGTGTGAGAGTGTGAGAGTGTGAGAGTGAGAGAGTGTGAGAGTGTGAGAGTGAGAGAGTGTGAGAGTGAGAGTGTGAGAGTGAGGGTGAGAGTGAGGGTGAGAGTGTGTGTGTGAGTGTGTGAGTGTGCGTGTGTGTGTGTGTGTGTGTGTGGTGGCTCACAGTAAACATCTGTGACCAGTAAACACTGACCTTAGTTCACTGACCAGAAGTTCAACCAAAATCCTGAAGTGGTTCGTGTCCAGCATTAAAATCAGATGCATTAAACAACAGATTATAAACACCTGCTCTAAAGTCAACATGACATCAGCATTCACTTTGCTTTCTGAATAACATGTTCTTGCTCTTATTGTACTCATTATTGCATTGTCTGCTAATATAAGACTGCTGGTGGTGAATGTTAATATTAACTAGTAGCATCATGGCAAATACAGCGATGATCCAATCAGATTCACACAGATTCAAACAGAGTATTCTGTTTTGCTCAGAAATGCGTAGTTTTACTAATCAAGGATGCATTAAATTGATTAAAAGTGAAACAAAACCTTTATAATGTAACAAAATATTTATATTTCAAATAAATGCTGTTCTATTCAACTTTCTATTCATCTGTGAATCCTGAAAAATGAAATGCATCAAAGTTTCCACAAAAATATTGTGCAACACAACTGTTTTCAACATTGATGATAATCAGAAATGTTTCTCGAGCAGCAGATCAGCATATTAGAATGATTTCTGAAGATCATGTGACACTGAAGACTGGAGTAATGATGCTGAAAATACAGCTGCGCATCACAGAAATAAATTACATTTTAACAGATATTCACATAGAAAACAGCTGTTTTAAATTGTAATTATCAATTATTATTGGTGCTCAGTTATTAATGTATATGTGTGTGTATATCGGCACAGGGATTAATTAGAAAAACTAAGCTTCATGACAAAAAGGTGACTGTATCTATGTTTCCATCTCCCTTTTTTATGCGCATCTTGAAGTGTTGCATCAGAAACGAGTGATGGTAATGCCAAATTAAAAAAAAAAAAAATTAATTCACTTTTAGTTTTTACGCTTGCTTGAGGTGGTTTTTGACTTGTGCGAAAAGAGTTGATGCAAATAATGGGAGATGAAAATGCCTTTTGCAAATAAATTCCTCCATGGATTATATATGAAAATCCTAGTAGTTCTCCTACTTTTCTTAGTTCTTTAGTGCCGGTTTAGTGATGATTTTGTTCTCTTTGACTCATTGGATGGAAACAGTACTTATTCGCGCATGTTTTATGCAATATTCCAATTTTGTGCATAAGTTAAATTCGCAACTTTGGATGGAAACTAGGGGTGCTCCGATCAGGATTTTTGAGGCCGATCACCGATCGCCGATCACAGAAAGCAGTATCTGAAAATGCTTTTTCAGCATTCCAATTCTTTTTTTACACAGTACAGTAATACAGTCTTTCACAGACATGTTTAAACACAATAAATATAAGCAACACATTATTCAATGCTTTTTACTTTTACATTTACTTCTAGATTTATATATCTATAAGTTGCTCAAGCAAGTGGCAGAACATTTA